AGAGCGTCTTGGAGATGTAAGGGGCCACATCGCGGGGCACCGTGAGTTTGTCAGAGCGGGTCGGTGTGCGCTGTAGAAACCTGCTGTGCTGCTGCATGGCCCCATGGCTCCCCAGGGCTGGCTCTCCTCCGTCCCTGTCAGCAGCCGTACACGCAAGGTGCTGCTCTGAATGCTTTCTCCTGGTGTCAGAAACACTGCTGAGTCTGTTCCAAGTGTGTCTGGTTTGTGGCTGAACAATTTGAGACAAAACTGAGCCTCCTTTTGCTGCAGGAGAGGAGCTGGAGTCCTGTAGGGACCACATTGATATGAAGCGTTTTGATAAACTTGGAACAAAACGTGTTTTGAATAAGGTTGTCCTGGTGCCAAAAGTTTAACAACAAGGAGGTTGGAAAGCGTGAAAAGACGTTTGTGACCTCTTGGGTTTCGTGCAGCTGAAATAAAAGACAGCATGGTGGTGTTGGCATCGAGGAGCACACACAGGGTTTCTGTCAGAGCTGCAGCGCTGTGGCACAGGCAGTGCCCGTGTTCAGGCCTTGAGTGTGGAGCACAGAGGGTGAATTTTTGCTGTGATTCCTTCCCCCGCTCTCTCTGCTCGTTAGAGGTTTGGTTATCCTCAGAGCGGCTGGCAGATTGGTGTTTTAATGTGATCTCATTAATTCACTGGGTAAAGATGTGGATGGGAATTAACTAAGGCTGATTAAAGCCCCGCTGGGGTATGGAGCGCAGAGTGCTGTCAGCTGGAGAGCAGGCAAGTAAACGGATCCTTGAATTTCATTTGGAGGAGTTGTTTGGCTTTTTTGGGGTGTGTGTGGGGCCGCAGGTAGATGTCAAAAACGTTTGTGTTCTGTCGCAGTGGGTGTTGCAGCAAAGTCTCTTGCCTGCGCTGTGTTTTTGGGACCTAGGCACCTCTGGGCAAAGGGTGAGTGGAGCTGATTTGTTTAAATGCTTTCCCCCTCTCCTTGTGACAGGTACGGACATTTCTCTGGCATTAACCGTAAGGTTCAGTTGACCTATCTGCCTCATGGACATCCCAAAGCTGCAAGTGAAGATGAAGGTAATAAACCTGACGTTGCTGCTGGGATCTGGTGTTCCAGAGTGTGTGCAGCTATCGCAGCCATCCCACCTACATCGGCCTCTGGACGTGCAAGCTAAATTAGTGACCCGTATCTTACCTTTGCTCACGTCAGATGAAGGGTTGGAGTGATGTATAACGTAGTGGACTGATGCACCCCAGCTGGTGCCACGGGGCTTGTGCTTCCAGTTTCGTGATTGTCAGCCTATACTGTGACTCTTAATTTCCTGCTTGCTGGTTTGTTTCCCCAGGATTTGGGGTCAGCTTGTGTTGAGAACACTGCAAGGTGCTGATCACAGCCTCTTCTTCCTCCCCTCCTTTCCCCCTGCAAGCCCAGCTTTGAGATCCATAGCGAGTCCCTCTTTGTCCCGTAGACGCTCGCCGAGAGCCCTCCCCGTCCCTGCTCCTGGTGCTGAAGTGGGGTGGAGAGCTGACACCCACAGGAAGAGTCCAGGCCGAGGAGCTGGGGCGAGCCTTTCGCTGCATGTACCCGGGTGGCCAAGGTGAGCTTTGACCGTGCGTCCCCTGTCCTGGACCGCGATGCTCGGGTGTCCATGGGCTGTGTGCACCCTGTGCGACTCGGGCCATCACTGTTCTCTTGAGTTGACCTGGTAAGGATAAATAATTCGAGTGGGTTTTGCACCCAGATATCTGCTGTAGTGGTTAAACGTCAGCACGGCTTGGAGCACACTAGCATTTTTCAACTCATGTGCCAGTATTCAAGAAAGAAGCTGCTCTAATAAGACACTTTTTGATGCAGCAAATACGATTTGAAAGTTATGTGTGATTAACGGGGAATTCAGGTCAGCTGTGGGGAACAGAGCACAGATAACTCTGCCTTGAGACAGGAGAACAGGAAGGCAGCTTCTCCATATTTCCTCTGCCACAGTTCTGTGACTGAAGCCTTCAGTGCACACAGAGCAGCAACACCCCAAAGGGGGGAAAGAGGCTGAGATTGCCCTTTTTGTCCAAATAGAGTCAGAAGTAATAAACTGCTTCTGTATTGATCTGGTGAGACCAGTATTGGATACTGCCTCTCTTTGCCTTGTATGTTTAATTACTTCAGTTTAATTAATTTAATTTCAAATTAATTAAGCTAATTTAAATTGAATTGGAGAAGGTTTCCTTCCGGAATGAGTTACCCTTGGTGGAGGAGGATCAGGTCAGGGAATACCTAAGGGAACCGGACGTACAAGCCCTGACCCAGGAGCGCAGGGGGCGCTGGGGATGCGAGGCCACTCTGGGTTTTTGTGGAGAGGCTGCGGGCACTGGGGAGGTCACTGCTGGCTTCACCAGCGGCGAGGAGGAGGGCCCGGGGCACCGCACGGTGGTCAGCCACAGCATGGTCCTGGAAACCTTTCCTGGGCACGTGAAGGACAGGAGGCTCTGCAGAAAAGGTCCGGGTGGACACCACGTTGAAGATGAGCCAGCAATGTGCCCTGGCCTCAAGAAGCAGGAGCAGGTTTCTCATCATCTCGTGCAGGGGGATCAGGTGCTGCTCCAGGCAGCAGCGGATGAGTCACCGCTGCTCTGTCTTTGGAGGGCAGAGCCGAGGCTGCGTGAGCCGCTTTCTCCATGAGTGACACAACTCCTGCGGTTGACTCAGCCATCGTAAATAAACCGGCGTTCAGTGCCGCAGGGTGACTGTGAATGTACAGGGGGCTCTGGAGGCTGGGTGCCTTCCCACTGAGCAGCTCCAGTGGCCGCAGCACCTGCTCCTGGGCACAGAACCAGCAGAAGGAGGAGGTGGTTTTGTGTGTTTTGCTCTGCACGGGGTGTTCAGGGTGGCAGAACAGTTCTGGACGGTTCAGGGAGGGTTGCTGCAGAGTTTGGGCAGCATCAGACCTGACTGGTGAATGCTCACTTGTTTCCTCAAAATGAACCTTCCCAAGTTAAACAAAGCCAGAATCGGTTTTTCAGTCATCAAGCATGGCTAGAACTGTCTGCTTTGGAGCAGCCTAAGTACGGGCTATGTGATTGACTTTCTACATAACCTTGTTACTACAATGGTTTGTTGTCTGATGCAGTGCATTCAGCTGACAGTTTTGAGGTGTCAGAACGTGAACTTTGAGTTTTCCTCTGTTCAGGTGATTACGCTGGTTTCCCTGGATGTGGCTTGCTCAGGCTGCACAGCACCTACCGCCACGATCTCAAGATCTACGCCTCGGATGAGGGCCGCGTTCAGATGACAGCAGCAGCTTTCGCAAAGGTCCTTCCTCTCTTTTGGGCATCTCTCGGTTCTGCTACATCAGTCTTAAAATGTGCCAGCTCTAAAGGAAAGCCTCTAGTGATGAGGAGGGAGCTGCCCTAGGAGCTTCCCCCTCCCTGTTGGGTGGTACATGACGCTAATAGCAAGTGTACGGGCCATGAAACTGCCAGGAATGCTTGTTGCTTGGGTGGCGCGTAGCTGAGCTCCTGTCCTGTGTTGCTCTAGGGTCTGCTGGCCCTGGAAGGAGAGCTGACCCCCATCCTGGTGCAGATGGTGAAAAGTGCCAACATGAACGGCCTCCTGGACAGCGACAGCGACTCCCTCAGCAGCTGCCAGCACCGCGTGAAGGCGCGGCTGCACGAAATCATGCAGAAGGACGCCGAGTTCTGTGAGGAGGATTATGAGAAGGTAACGCACCCACGTGGCCTCACTGCTCCCTGTCTCTGGAAGGAGAATGGTGTTGCTGCAGGGGTTTGACGTGAGGCCTGCTGCCGTGTGAACCATAGTTTGGTTGGTCTGAGATCAGTGCTGGTCAAAACTACAGGATATGAACAGAATTTAGGAAGGGAGAGGGCAGCCCCTGCCCTTCTCCAAGTGAAAACCCTCAGTGTTGCTCCACTGCCCCTTCAAGAATCACCGTGGTACCTCCCTGTCCCTTTAGATGTCCCAGTGCATTTTATTCCCATGGGTGTGCTAAAAGAAGAGTTCTCATGGTTTACTGCACGCCTTGCCAGGTTGCAGACCTGTGCTCTGGGCCTGTGAACAGATCTTTTGGGTACAGACCCTTTTCTGGTCCTGTCAGTGTCTGATAACTGCAGAGAACATGGGCTACATCCAGCACAGCAGCCAACAGCAGGACTGTAGCTGCTTCTCAACAAGTCCCCACAGCACTGTTTTTCTCTGACTCTGAGATCTGATTAGTGAACGGAAATCCATACCATTAAGGAACACATTTATCACCTCAAAGAACTACTTAAATCTTGTGCTCAAGCACAGGAGTGAGGTGAGACAGGAGCGGGTGTTGTAGCTGCAGGGAGCTCTGGTCTGGCAGGAGCAGTTGTTTGCTCCCTCTGAGGAAGTTTAAAACGTGCATAACCACCCCCAGGGACAGGCCATCGTGTTACAGCCGTGAGCACAGCTTTTGTACCGTCGGGGAGCAGCGTGGCTGCAAGAGGCAGACGTTTGGTGTCCCGGTTTGTAGAGGTACTGACCCCTCTCTGCTGCTGTCGTCTCTCAGCTAGCACCGACAGGCAGCGCTTCTCTGCTCAACTCCATGACCTTCATCCAGAACCCGGTAGAGGTCTGCAACCAGGTGTTCACCCTGATCGAGAACCTCACCTCCCAGATACAAAAACGGCTGGAAGACCCAAAATCTGCAGGTGAGCATCAGAGCTGGGAAGGGTCTGGAGCAGGTTCATGTGGTGTTACAGCTCCAGGGCTCCCAAAGGCCAGTATGGTTCATGTTGGTAGCGAAGAGATCCTACAGTGCAATTCTGTACATGATGTTGGTGTCAGAGGCTCCTGTTCCACTTCCAGCTGCTGTTAGAGAGGGCTGTAAGGTAAAGGATGTGATGTGTGTTGGGTCTGGAGTGAACAGCAGCAACAGAGCTGGGTTTTCTCATGTGTTTCCTGGAGGGGAGCTCAATACCATCAAGAGCAAGGTTTTCAGTCATGGTTTGCTCCACGAACTTTCCCAATAGCAGTGCAGAGCTCTTAAAAAGGTGCCTGTGGGATGTTTCACACGACTTATGACAGACGTAAGCCAACATACAGCAGTTCCACTTTTCTCAAGTGTTTTGGCAGTAGCTTCTGCCACAGGTTAAAGCTGTGCAGCAGCTCCAGCGACTTTCCCAGCCCAAAATTCCTGTGGGTGACAAAGATCAGAGCCCTCCTGCGTGGGGACGGCGGTCGTAGCCATTCCTCAGAACCCACGCAGGACGTGAGCATGGTGTGATGTGATCTCTGCTGTTCAGACCTGCAGCTGTACCACAGCGAGACCTTGGAGCTGATGCTGCAGCGCTGGAGTAAACTGGAGCGAGATTTCCGCATGAAGAACGGGCGCTACGACATCAGCAAGATCCCGGACATCTACGACTGCATCAAGTATGATGTACAGCACAACTGCGCGCTGAAACTGGAGGGCACGGCTGAGCTCTTCAAGCTCTCCAAAGCCCTGGCAGATGTGATCATACCCCAGGTATAGCCTGTCCCGCCTGCCCGACGGCGTCTGCGGTGTCGGTTTCTGACCCTTTCCCTGTCTGTTTTTTCTTGAATCTTTTGCACATTAAGTCTCAAGGCAGCGAGTTAACAGGAGAGTGTCACAGGTTCTCAGATATCTCTTAGTGTTTAGAGAGATTTCTGTGTTAAAGTGAAGGCTTATTCTGGCAAGTTCATTACTGTTGTTAAGCTAAACTTGTGCAGTTTGCCAGGTTGGTTGCTCATAAACTTTATGCCCACAAACACGGGAGGAGGAGTGAGGGCCACACGCAACGCGTCTCTGTTTTCAGCGTTGTTCTGTCCCACCTCTGACAGAAATGCTTTGCTTAAATGGGATGGGCTTCTGCCTGCAGGGTCCAGTTGCACTTGTGCCCCCAAAGGGTGGAAGTGGCTTTCCAAACTTTCACAGCGTTCCCGCTGAGCTGCAGTTTGGTGATTTCCAGCACAGCATTCCCGGTTTTATCTTTGCAAACAGCAGCTGTTGCATTACCACTCGTGCCAGGTCACAGTGTAATTTTGTGTGTCGCGGGAGGAGGAGGTTCCCTGATGTCCTTGCACCTCCCAGCTGCTGGAAGAATACTGACCGTCGTGTCTAACAGATGGGGGTTAGGATGAGGTTTGTGTGAGGATGAGGCAAAGAAGCAGGGCTCAGGGGTACCTGTTGTTTTGTTCCTGCAGGAGTATGGGATTAATAAGGAGGAGAAACTGGAGATTGCCATCGGCTTTTGTCTTCCCCTCATTAAAAAGATCCAGCTGGACCTACAGAGAACCCACGAGGATGAGTCTGTCAACAAACTGCATCCCTTGTAAGGACCATGCCGCTGCGGGTGGGAGGGCAGCTCCGGAGCCACGCGTGGGACCCGCGCCAGGAGGGTCAGTGGTGTGGGAGGAGAGGGTCACACCCTGAGGGATGCACCAGGAGGGAGGGACGTTAGTGCTGCCAGCGCTGGCAGGGACATGAAGGGCACAGTGAGACACAAGGGGCACAGTGAGACACGAGGGGCACAGTGACGCTGCTGCTGGGAGCACGGTGCCGCAGAGGCTTCAACCCACTGGTGTGGGGTGGTGCTGCCTTCATCCTGTCTCTGCCTCTGCCCCACTGCGTCTCCATTAGGAAACCATGAAACTGGCTGCTCCTGTGCCAGTGCTCTCGCTGTCTGTTCAGTCCCAGCTGCGCTCCAACAGGGGTTATCTTACGCTGTGAAGCGTGCAGAAGTGTTGCTGTGTGACAGATGGCAACTGGCTGCGGGCTGTCCGTAACAGCGGGCTGGTTTTGGTTTAGGTACTCCAGAGGAGTCCTGTCTCCGGGTCGCCACGTTCGGACAAGGCTCTACTTCACCAGTGAGAGCCACGTGCACTCTCTGCTCAGCATCTTCCGCTATGGGGGGCTCCTGGATGTAAGTGTCCAGCAATGCTCACAGAGTAAGCCACCCTGCTTTCTTCAGTGGCCCTTTCCATGGTGGACAGTGTGTGTTTGTAGGTTGTCCCTCTGGCCAGCTGCCCCGTACTGATGTGCATCAGCTCGGTCTCCGCTGTGTTTGCGTGCTGCAGCCCCCTGGCTCATAGGGGATTGCTCTTTTCAGTCCTGACACTGCTGGCCCTGCTTGTGCAGAGGCATCTTCCCCCCGAGCCGTGCTGCTGGTGTCAGAGGAGCAGGGCACTGACCTGTGTAGGGGCAGCAGTGTGAGGCCATGGGGTCAGGTGATTTCTCTCTTCCTGCTTCTTTCAACCCTTTTTTCAGGAGCTTGGCCCTGTTATGTAGCCACTTGCTATCAGTTCCAAGTCAAGAAAATCAGTTTGCTTACAGACTTGGGATTGCAAATGCACAGGGGGTGCTCTGTACCAGAGGGACTGATGACACATTTCTAGGGGACTGACTCATCCGGTCCAACCTTCACGTGCTCTCATAACCTGCTCCCTGAAGGAACTGGTGTGCAGACCCTGAGAATCCTCTGCTTTGGACTCCTCAAGAGGCTGTGATTTATTCTCCCATTTTTAAGCATGGTGTTCTGAAACCAGCAGGTGTGATTGCTGATGTCTGCAGCTCAGTGTGTCTGCAGGCAGTGACTGTGAGCTGCTCACTGAATGAGGCCATTCATTCAGCATCCATCACTTGGTCCCTTGTTTTTTCGTGCTTTTTTGAGATGTCTCAAGCCCTGAGCAGGGCTGTGTGCAGGGCCCTGCTGTGGGTTTGTGTCCAGCATGGCACGGGGCTGGCGGGTACCGTGCTCGGGGATGCACGGGGACGCTGCGGGCGGCTGCGGTGCCCCCTGTGCAGATGCTCCTTGCTGCAGCACCTCATTGCAAGGTCCTCTCTCATCGTGTTTTTTGTCCTGACGATGTTGTTATCTCGTGGAGACACAACCTCTCGGACCCATTTCACTGCGAGGTGCCTGCGGTTGCTCACTCCCTGCGCCTGTCTGTGTGTGTGTATCAGGAAAACAAAGACCAGCAGTGGAAGAGAGCCATGGACTATTTGAGCGCTATCTCAGAGCTGAACTACATGACCCAGATTGTAATCATGCTCTACGAGGACAACAACAAGGTGAGGGCAGTGGCTGCAGGACCACCCCTTCCTGCGGGATGCAGTCGAGATGAGTTCAGCTGAGCCCCGTAACCTGAGCGCTGGCCCCTGTGGTGAAGGTGGACGGATCGATAACACAAACACGCCTTTTTATTTTTAGGGAGGCTGTGACTCGGTTAATGCTTGTTAGCATAAGCAGAATGCCACCCCGAGCAGCGATACCAAACTTGAGTAACCAGGACGAGCTATTTCAGAGCATTTCCTAACACAACATAATGTGCTGCTTCTGAATATTAATTACAAATGCATGATAGGGAAAAAGAAATAAAACCATATTATATTGGGCAGCTTTTCCCAAGTATTTCAGAATATTTATATAAATTCCACATTTGTAAACTTTGGTTTTATTTTAAAAATATACTGATATAGTTAGGGAAGTATATACTGATATCTTCAGGGAGAGAATAATCTCAAAACCGTCTGCAATGTGGAAGCTGATGGTGATGGCCGTAAGCAGGTTTGTCCTCAAATTGCACACGCTGCCTCTATGTACTGTAGAGTCAGGGTCTTGTATGCACAGAGCTGATGTGGGGCTTTAATGGTAGAAATGTTTGTCAGAAAAACCCCAAAATCTCTGAGTAGAGCTCTCAGGATTAGTGTAAATCTGTAAGTGAAGATGGTGAGACTGTTGATTTTCTGTCATTAGTGGCAGATACTGCAAAAGCTCTGGCTTCCCTTAAAAAAAATTTAAAAAAATTAAAAAAAAATAATATTAGAGCCAGTTACTTAAATCTTGGATCAACCCAACCAAAGGTCCAGGGGGAACCAATCTCTCCCTGCCCCAGTGTGTGCTGGTTCTACAACAGGAGTGGATTGGAAGGGGCTATATTTTAGGTTTGTGTATTTATATATAAAAATGTATATATATATATACACCCATAATTATAGCCCGATTCTGTTTTGGCCCTCTGGTGGGTGTTGTCACAAAATAACAACAATTTGAATGCCTCAGCTTTGTGCTAACAGGGGCTGTCCTTTTGGATGAGACAACCCTGGAGCCGTTCTCCTCGTGGTTCTTGTTGCTTCTGCTTTCCTCCCAAAAGAGCGCTCAGGGGATGCGTGTGGGATGTGTGCGGGATGTGCATGGGATGCGTGCGGGATGCGCGTGAGATGCGTGCTGTGCCGGCATGGCAGTGGGCCTAGGCCAGGCCGTGGCCTGTGCTGGCTGCAGGACTGGTTTTTGGTTATTTACTGATCCCCTGTGCCTCCTGCCCACAGGACCCATCGTCAGAAGAGCGTTTCCACGTGGAGCTGCACTTCAGCCCGGGCGTGAAGGGCTGTGAGGAGGACAGAAACGTGCCCACGGGGTTTGGCTTTCGGCCTGCCTCAGCGGAGGTGAGGACACCGCGGGGCCGTGGTGGGGGTGTGCAGGGCCGGAGTGGCCGTGGGCCTGTCCGTTCTGCTGGGCTGTGCCCTGCACGTTTCCCTCTGTCCGCGGCCATCACCTGGGTGCATTCCCTGCTGGGCAGGGTTTGTGGTGGCCTCTGAGGACGCCAGCGCCCTCCTGGGACTGGCAGAGCTGGGAGCCACGAGGTTTCGCGGTTTGCCGGCCGAGGCCAGGGGCCTGCAGGTGCCTTTGTTCCCTCTCTGCAGAACGAGGACAAGAAAGCCGACCAGGGCAGCCTGGAGGACCTCTCCAAAGAGAAGGGCATCGATGAGCCGGATCGCGCCCAGCAAAGGTCTCCACAGCCTTTGGAGCCCATCAGCATCCAGCGAAGGTCCCCGCTGATCAGGAACAGGAAGACGGGGTCCATGGAGGTAACAGCCATGGGTGCCCGTGCTTGTTCTGGTGAAGGTCTTTGCCTCGGTTTTGGCTTCCTGGCATTCCTTTTGGCGCGCCAGAGTTTGAGTTGATTCTGCGAAAGGATCTGCAGGAGTTAAAAAGGGGTTTTTTGGAAGGCAGACCTCCCAAACTCCTCACCAAGGTAGGACAGGGCGAACACAGGTCAGAGGAACTGATGAGGAAGAGCAAGTAAGGAAATGCTTGAGAAACACAATGATTTTTTGGATTGCATGCTCTGTAGAGGCATCAATGAGGTCATGGGGATGTCTCTGCCTTGCCTTAGGCTCCTTGTTCCTCTCTCCCATCTAAGACCTGGTATCAACGGGGGGTCCCTGCTCACCGGTGGGTTTATTGCAGTGTCTGCACAGTCACGGGACGCAGAGCTGTCGCTGATCTGAAGTAGCAGAGATCGATTTTCCTGTTCTTGCATCTCTCCTTCAGGGACGCTGTGTGTCACGAGGCTGGTGGGAAGCTGGCACCTTCAGAGTGCCCTGGATGTGGTCTCCCCTTCGGGGGGGGTTCACAGGCGTTTTTGTGGTTTTCTGAACCAGTGAAAGCAGAATTAGGACTCGAGGTGTTTGTTAGCTGGGTTCCATCTCTGTGTCACCTACGATTTAATCCCTGCCTGCAGCACTTGGAGGCTCATCCTGAGTTAAAGGGGATTTTCTGCTCAAGAGGGAGTCCATGTCCCAGTGATCCCAGCAAGAGTCAGTGCATGAGTCCCTTCAGACCTCTGAAATCCTCACTGTTCCACAGCCAGCACACACATGAAATTAAACGGAGTGTGTGCTGTCACAGTTTTAGTGTATCAGTACCTTTGTACTTCTTGGAAATTGTGTTTTTAAGGAAGAGATGTATTCTTCTTTACCTTCAGTTGATGTATAAAGGCTTTTGAGACCAATGGGTAACTGGGAGCACAACACTGATTGCACTGTCTGTCTTTGCAGGTGCTCTCTGAATCCTCTTCCAAGTCAGGAGGTTATCGCCTCTTCAGCACTTATTCCAGGCAGTCTTCTGAGATGAAGCAAAGTGGCCTAGGTACCGTACCCCACCTGTAACCAGCCTGCTCGCCTCTGCCGCTGTGTTTCTGTGGGCATCCGTCTGTCTCTGCACATCCACATCTGGCTTGAGTTCCTCGTGTCTCTGTGTGCATCCTGTCTGCTTTCAGTGTTGCTGTTTAGACCACTCTAGAGGCTGTCTCACTGTATTTCCCTTTGTGCGTGGTCCTCCTGCAGCTTCTAGCAACAGAAGATGCACTTTCCATCCTTTATAGTGTGGGAGCAAGCTGCGTACCCGCAGGTTGGCCTTCTGGTTCCACATTGTTACCATTTACACGTACACCATTTCCATGTTACACCATTTCTGAGCTGGGTAGGAAGAGGTGATTTTGCGTGAGAACCAGCGTGCTTTCTGTTCGGCAGAACAGTCCTTCAGGTGCAAAGCTGCTCTCCACCTAAGAGTATTATGTTTCTACCTTTGGTTCACAAAGACCTCTCGCACGGATCAGCTCTGTCACCTGCAGCGCTGTTCACAGCTCTCTAACCGAACTGCGTCGCTGGTTGGCCGTTCTCTGCATGGAGAAGAGTATTTTGAGGCTGTCCTTGAGAGTACCCCATCATCCTACCCCAAACTATGTCTTAATAGTTGGAATTCCTCCTGAAATATTTTTGCTAAAGCAGGATCTATCTGGAAACCAAAAGCTGTCTTTGCTGTCACGAGGTTCAGAGATAGCTGTGAAACCTGGATCTCGCAGATGACTACTGAGCACCAGGAGGTTGAAACGCCTGAGTTATGCCCACTGCCTTTTTCTTTAAAACCATTTTTGCATTATGGCTTGGCCATGGTCTTGCAGCCGGTCTGACTCGTCAGCTCTTTGTTATGTGGACATCCTGCAGCCGAGAGATTTCTGAAAGGCCTGATCTGTGTCACGTTTGAACAAGCTGTTTCTTTCACAGCTCATTCTCATCGGGCAAAGGGAATTTCCCTCAGGGGTTAGGAAGTACCCCTGGGGTCTGCCAACCACGCTCCCAGCCAGGAGGAATCTCTAAGAAGGGGTGGCTGATGCTCATTATTTTCAGAAAGGCACAGCAGCCTTGGCCATAGCGGATTTTGGATGTGCTGGTCTATGTGGTGCATCTCCTGTGTCTGCAGGACTGAGCAGGCTGCAATGGGCTGCCCTGCTCAGCCTCGGAGAAGCCGGTGGTTGTCCCGTGAATCCCATGAATTTCGGAGATGGCAGTCGAGGAGGTGCCTCTGCTGGAGGAGACTGAGCACTGAAATGCTGCTGCAAGCCGAGTGCTCTGTGCAGCAGACAGCTCAGCCTTTTCCAGCTTCTGAGGAATGTCTGTCTGGGTGATAGAGACGACTGCTGCTCTGCTGGACCCTGGTACGGCCAAAACCTGAAATGTGGTCCCAGCAGGTGCAGTTTCATTTCCTGGGAGGTCTTTGCAGGTCACTCTCCCCATGGCAAAGCTCTGCAGAGCCAAAGCTCTGCGCAGGAGCTGCCTGACCGGGCAGGGGACGCTGGCTCAGCGCAGCCGTCGCTCTCTGTCCTCCACGGCTGCAGAGCAGGAGGCTGCGGTGCGACACGGCCGGGCACAGCCCCTGGCGTTGGGGTGTCTGTGTTCTGTGAGCCTGTCTTAGCTGAGAACTCCTGAGAAGAGCAATGCCTCTGTACCTGCAAAAGTCAAGCTCTTGGAGGAATCCTCCTGATTCCTTTCCTGCTTGTTTTGTAGCAATCTGGCTTTTTCCCACTTTCGGATCTGAAATGTGCTCTCTCTGGGAGAAACAATACAGAACCCAGGAGCGCTCACACACTGAGTGTGGCTTCCACACTCATCTCAGCAGCTGCGCTGTGAGGGGCTCGTTCAGACACCGCCTGCTGCTCCTGAGCTTTTCTGAAGCTGAGCCCATCTCCCATTGCCTCACCCTGTCAGTGTCCGGGGTCGTTACTGTGTGAGAATGGACGCCTGTCCAGGTACAGGCTGGAGTGGGGAGCAGGACACAGCTCCTGTCATAGCTCCACTGCCAAATTGGCCAGAATTGGGTCTTTACTGCAATTTAAAAAGTGCCTTCAAATGCCTGTGTGGAAGAGGGGCGGCTGCAGCTGGCTTTGTCCATGCCAAGGGTGCTTCGGAGTTTGCCGTGTGTTTCTGGGCAGGAGCAAGGATTACTGTGGATTTTCTGCAGTGAGGTGGATGCCTCTGGCTTCAGGAGCCAGGGAAGCACCAGTGCCTTGCTTTGCTTGCGGGAGCGGGGTGAAACCACTCCCTGCTGTTTGAGCTATAAAGATGCATTGCCAGTGGGCACGGAGCTTTGTGCTGACTCAGATTCCTGCAGGGAAACAAGGGATGTCCATTTCTTTAAACATCTGAACATTATATACACAAAAAAGATCCAGCACATGCAGCAGTTTCTAGCAAATGCTGCTACATCTTAAGTCCATGTGCCATCATGTTCCTTAGGGGGTGTGTGTGTGGTCGCTGTGGCTGCAGCGGTCTCTGGAGCTCACCATTGACGACTGCTGTCATCTGTAGTCATCTCTGTGAATCCTCTTCTGGCTGCAGGTGCTAACACAGCTCTTCTGCCTGCTGCAGGACGCAGGATCCTGAGCTAACACAGCTCTTCTGCCTGCTGCAGGACACAGGATCCTGAGCTTAATGACAGTGGATGAGTGGCTCAAGACAGAAACCCACACAAACCTCCTGATCCATTTTTGTCTGCGGTAACTGAGCCTGTTGGGTTTGCTGTTGTTGTTCTTTGTTTTAAAGCCATGGGAGGACAGTTAGGAGCACCGTCCTGGCTGCAGCTTGGCAAAATTCTGTTGGCATCCTGACAGATTCCAGCTCGCACCGAGCTCAGATGTAAGGCATTAGGAGAACGTTTTCTGAGGCTTGGGTGTCAGTCACCTTGCAGGCACAGCTCCTTGTCTGTTTGTCCAGGGCAGGGAGCAGGGCTTTGCTGGAGCAGCAGGAGTGCAGCGTTGGGCAGAGGGATTTGGTTCTGCCCCTCTGTGCCCTCCTGTGGGACTGTCCTGGGCTCCCTGGGGCACGGCTGCGCCGTCCTGGGCTCCCCGGGGCTCCCCAGAGCGTGGCTGTGCTGCCCTGAGCTCCTTGGAGCATGGCTGCACCATCCTGGGCTCCCTGGGACACGACCGTGCTGTCCTGGGCCCCCAGAGCAGTGGGGGTGCAGTGGGGGTGACCCCATTAGGGACAGGGTGGTGGATGGGGCTGAAGCTCACGGCCTGTGAGGAGGGGCTGGAGCAGGGCTTGTTCAGACCAGAGGCTGTGGGGAGCGGAGCTCAGCGCTGCTCAGCAACCACATGGGAGGTTACGGAGCAGAGGGACTGACAGGATGATGACCAACGAGCAGCAGCATGGGAAGCTCCGGTTTGCTTGGGGGAACAAGTTTTTCACCATGAATGCACCAGATATGGGAGCAGGGGCTCAGAGAGGTGGTGAAATCTCCTTTGTGGAGGTGTTCAGAACTTGGCTGCACAAACCCTCGCGAGCTGCTCCAGGCTGGACCTGCTGGGCGCTGGGCAAGTCCTCAAAACCAGGACGGCGCCTCCGGAGGTTCCTTCCAGGCGAGTCACGCTGCGATGCCGTGTTTTAGAGTCAAGAGCTGCTTGCAGTAGAGGCAGGGCCCTTTTTACGGCAGTAACAGTTGCACTGTTCCAGTTAAATACCAGCAGGCCGTATGTCCGGTCTTTGCCTTGGCAGACAAGGTGGAAAAGATCAACCTGCTCCTTTCTGGAAGCCTTCTGTGTGTGGGAGTGATGTTGTTTTTAGCAGCTGATATTCTCAGCACAGAAATCAGCACCGAGATGGTTTCACAGAGAATTTAGAGCCAGTCAGGGGCTCTGCGTGGCCCATAACACGGTTTTGTCTCGCTCACAATTGCTTTCCTCAGCCAAAAGAGTCCCGTTTCAGTGCCCGCTGTTCCCTAAATACCCCAGGTCAGGCCAGGTCCCTCCAGCACCGAGCCTTGGAGCAGCCAACACCAGAGCTGCCAGAGCCGTCAGGTCCCTGCAGTGCATGGGGCTGTGGTGCTGTGCTCCCCGCACGGGGCACGCACGGCTCCACGCTGGGTGTGCATCTGGTGCTGCACAGCAGAGCAGCCGGAGCTGCTGGGGAATGTGAGGGGTCACCGGGGCAGCAGGAGCGCTCTGGTCGCGTTGATGTCCTTACAGCCTGGCAGGGCGATTCGTGCTCATCTGCTGCTCACAGAGCAGCCCTTCCTTCTGCAGGAAAGGAGCTTTCCAAAGAGCAGAGGAGTGGAGCCCTGTGATGTAGTAGCGATCGTGGCAGGATCTGGCGTTGCTGTAGTGCGTACATCTGCTGACTGCAGGGTGTCAGGGTGTTTCTCCTGAGTCAGGAAAGCCAATGGAAATAACCTCTGGATGGAGTGAAGAGCTTTCCTGGTGCTGCCTGCTGTGCGTTTGGCACTACTGAGTTATGGATGGGGAATCCTGCCTCCCTGCGCTCCCCGGCATCAGTTTTACCCCGAGATTGCCTGCAAAGTGGCCCGCTCATTCCTCATTCCTCGACTAACCCTGCTTTTCTGTAGCTGCACGCGGTGGAGATGTGATACTAACACCTTCCCTGCCTTTCCAGGGTCGCAATGCACCGGCCTGTTTAGCACCACTGTGCTGGGAGGCTCCTCCAGTGCCCCCAACCTCCAGGACTACGCACGCAGCCATGGCAAAAAGTTTGCCAGCAGCCTGACATACAAAGACGGTATGTGTGCTCCGGGCAGCAGCGCTTCCCTTCGGTGCCTCGGGTGCTCCTGAGGCCGAGCCCCGGGCTGCTGAGAGGGACGGCAGCGCAATGTGCGCATCCGCCACGTCCACAGCAGCGTGTTTGACCACATCCCCAGAAACCGCGGTCCTTGCTAGGGCAGGGCAGGAGCTGCGCCAGGAGGTCTAAGCCGAGAATTTAATGCTGCTTGCTGTTGTGGAGGGTTTATCAGTCTGGGTATTGAATAGGGTTGTCCTGGTGTGGAAGTCCAGCACTTCACATCATCTCGTTTACCCTGGTGATCTTCCTGGTGCTAAATGAAGCTGCAGGGTCAGTAACCCTCACCCTGTGGAAGAGGCTGTCCCAGAGGCAGGATGGTGCTTGGGGTGGGTAAACGGGTGCTAGAGTAAGGCTGGGCATATAGAGGAGTCGAGGCAGCTGTCAGAGCACGTGTGGTGTGCCCAAAATGCTCGAGATAAGTGGGATGCAAAAGGACTGGAAGGTTTAGTTAGTGTGCAGGTCTGCAGAAACTGCCTTAAATTGCAGCAAGACCGTCTGGTGCAGTGAATGTGGGTCATTAGTGTCAGTGTAGCTCGGTGTAGATGAATGCAGGGTTGACCATAGGTGGTACCGGTGCGTTGGGAAGCAGAGGATGCTGCTGCTCTCAGGATATCGGGGCACAGGGACAAACCGGGGTGTCCTGGAGGAGCTGGAGGGGTGCAGGGCACAGGCGCCAGTGTCCGCTGGGATCCGGTACAGGAGCTCCGACTGCTGGTACTGAGGAACCTGCTGTTTGATGGAACGTGAGTTGGGCAGCAGTGAATGGGATAGGGTATGGATAGGATCATGGTTAGGATATGGATAGGATCATGGATAGGATACGGATAGGATATGGATAGGATATGGAAAGGATACGGATAGGATCATGGATAGGATATGGATAGGATATGGAAAGGATACGGATAGGATCACGGTTAGGATCAGCACAGAGCACTGTGCCCCGTTTGGAAATCCACGCAGTGCTGCACAGCTCGGGCTTCCCAGCATCCAAACGGCTGTGAGATCATCTGTTCTCTCTTCCTAACAAATGGTTATTTTGATCAATAGAGTCTCGAGTGCCTGTCTTACCGGAATCATAAGGAACACCAGCACTGGTGGGTTACAAGGTGGGGAGGTGATTAAGGCTGTAATCTGGGGCCTTTGGGGCAGACAGGAGGTTGATTTGTTGGGATTTTTGTCTAGTTTTGAGGCAAGGACAATGTCCTCACACCTCAGGGCGTGACGATGCTGTCTGACTCTCAGGCCTGTTGGGACCTCACGAATGCTGTTACGAGACCATTACGTGCACGGCTTTTTGTGCGGCTTCTCACTGCGCGAGAGCTGCGCTGCTGCCCCCTTTCTGGGAGCTCCCTTACCCACCACAGCTGTGAGCGACAGGGACGGGAGGGTGCACTGGCCTCTGTGCAGCCCCGGGGCTGAGCCGCGCTCCACGGGCAAAGGCTGCGCGCCCTCATCCAGAGCAGGCGTTCAGGGTCTCTGCGTGCTGAGGCGCGGTTGTACCCTCAAGTACTTAAAAGCAGTTATTTAATTAGCATTAACGCAGCCCAGGATCACTCACCTCGATATTACGCTGCTTTTTCCCCACATTTCTTCATGGCACTGTGCTGCAAGGAGAGCGGTTGTGAGGGAGAAGGGGGTTTGAGAAACGCGTGGGAGGCCGGAGGCGTTCGGGTGCTGGGCTGGGTCTGCAGCGGGAAATGCGGCCCTGCCTGCGCGCTCCTGCGGCCGTGGGCTCGGTGCAACGCTGAGCAGTGGTGTCTGCAGCCGCAGCGGGTCTGGGAGCACGTCTGCGTCGAGTCGTCAGGCCAGCAGAGTTTAAAACCCTCAGGTTCTGGGTCACATCTTTGCATGGGCTCTGCGGTGTTTTTCCATGCTGTGACACTTCAAGGTGTGGTGCATGGCTTAGGGCCCCTCATTTAACAGGGAAGTTAAAACGCCCTTGTTCCTGAGGTCTGTTGTGGTGGACGAGGGCTGGAAGTGCCTCTGGGGAGCCGTGCCCCAGCCCCAGCCCCGCTGGTGGTTTGGTTTGAAGCCGGTTTGTCTGCAGGGCTGCGGGCGCTGCGGTGCCGCTCACACCAGTGCGCTGTGCAGCGGGGATGGTGCTGGCTGCGGGCGCAGGGAGATTGTCACAATGGCTGGGTTTAGAGAAAACAACAGGGTTTAGGGCTGCTCTGCTGGCAAAGGAGAGGGCAGCAAGTTTTGAGTTGGTTTAAATGCATTATTTGGCCAAGTCAGTGGATGCAGCTGCAGGACCACAGTGAGGGTGTGGAGCATGAAGTGATGCCTGTGCCTCCTAACGCTGGTGTGGAGGGGTAGCGTACACTGACCAGGTAGAACGGACACGTGAAACCTGAGAGAGAAATGAACACTTTATAACATTTCCTAAAAGTTCCTGAACAGCAGCCAAAGGGAGGCCTGGCTGGGGTCTCGCATCAGGTCCTGCATACAGGCGGTCTGATCTAGGCCCTTCTGTCCGTGATAGCGGAGGAATTTCCAGAGTGGGAATAGACTGAAGTTTTCAGCTTTTTCTTTTGCATATGGAGACTAATCCTTGTCTTGTGAAGCTCCTCTGTTCGCTTCCGTTAGACGCACAGATCT